GGGGGGGGAGTGCTGGGCTGTAAGTTGGCACACTACAAGGTACAGACTGGCTGAGTCATGGCACACCCTCCCCCCCTTGGGGCTGGCACTGGAGCCAGTCCACCCCACACCTAAGGGCTGGCCGAGGCCATCTGCAGCTTTTGTGTTGCCAGCAGCCAGGTGGGGGCAGGCAGGGGACTCCTGCCTGGGTGCCCCCTGCTGGCATGCTCCCCCCCCCCCAAGAGGATCCTCTCCACCCCGTTGAGGTTCTGAGGTGCTGCAGTTTGCCTTGTGCAGGGGGTGAGGGTGCCCCGCTGCAACACCTCCCCCAACTCCCCGCTGGACGCCCCCTTCGGCAGAGCCGCCTGGAGAGATCACAGGCAGCCACATGAAAGGGAATTTTTCCCAGGCAGAGATGGAGTTGAAAGCTGCCTCCCACCTCCTCCCCCTGCCCCTGCTGTGCCAGGCCAGGCTGCTGAGCTCCTGGTGCTGGAAAGGAGCTTGTGACACGCGGGAAGGGGTTGAGGGTCAGAACCCCCACCCAACATGGCAGCTTTTTACCCTCCCAGAAACAATGACAGAGAAGTCCCATCTCCCCCATCTCTCTGCCCACTCAGCTTCATAAGTTGCCCCTTTCGTCATCCCAAAAGCCCTCACCCACCTAAAGCCAGGCCGGACATCTTCAGGAAGTGCTTCCTCAAGTCTAGCCTCTGTCTCAGCCAGGCTCAAAGCAGCTGGGTGGGAAGCATGCCTCCCTGTCAGGTGGATAATATGCCTTATGCTGCAGGCCGGCCTCTGTGATATGCAGGGGCGTGGGGGGTATACAGCAGCACCCCTTCCTATTCGGGCTGCCCTGGCCTGCACCGTGTGGCCCTGTGGGTGATTTCCCCAGTCATCTGGCCTCAGGTCCCAGTAAACCTTGTGCCAACAAACTTGCTGTGGGTGGAGTCACAAGAGACAAAGCCAGGGTTGCCCTAGGCCACAGTCCAATAGCCCTCAGGCCTAAAGAGGGGTCCCTATGTGTGTGCTGGTTATAGCCAGGTCCCCATAAACCTGGGCTAAAACTGCTCCCTGGGGACTCACATCAGTGGTTGTGAGAGCACTAGATCCCTGCAAGTAAGAAGAGATAAGAACCTGAACAGGCAGCTCAGGCCCCACCCCCAGGACTGCTGGCTGCTTTGCACTGATCAGGTGCTGTTGACTTTAGGTAAATAGAGAAGGTGGCCCCAGGTGAATGAAGGTCCCTGGAGGTTCAGGTTCTGAGGTAGGGGGACAATCAGGCAAGCGAGGTGCTCTAGTATAGCCACTGCCAGGTTAATAGCATTTCTATTCTCTGTCATCCAGGCTGGCTGTTCCTGCTTGTCCCCCTTGTGGATCCAGAGGGCCTCACTTCCCAAGAGATCCCCCACTCTAAATGTCCCTGGGTGATTCTTCCTTCCAAAGGTGGCCCCAGACAATCCCTGCCCAGCAATAGCCCCAAAAACTGGAGAGCAAAAAGCCAGCAGTGCTTCGTGACACAAACATGCATTCGTTTTATTCACAAAACAGCCTGGTTTCCTAAAACAATACAAACAGCATGTTCATCAGCAGGAAGCTGGCCATGGGCACGGGGGCCCAGGCCGAGGGGGACCCCCTGTGCACCCACCCCCACTGGCAGGGGACCACGCAAAGAAGCCCTTTCTTCTGCCGCCATCAGCCAGGCCGGGGGAAAAAAGGACTTATTTTCTCTAAGGGAAGTAGCCATGATCATGATCAGAACTATCGAAACATGGGCTCCCCAGGTCTCAACGAATAAACAGAACTTTCATTTTTGCAAAATCATTGTTGGGGTAGGGGATCCCATTGTGGGGACTGTGGGCCTGGGCCTGGGGGAGTCTGCTCCCTCCCCCTCTGTGAGCGCCTCAAGGCAGCTCTGCCCACATGGATGGACACAGAGGGGCTTCAACACGGCGCCATCAACATTCTCTTTATAAACGTGAGTGGGTTCTCCAGGCAAACTATGCACTATTTCATGGTCAGAAAGAATCAAAGGAAGTTTAAATGAGGGTGGAGTTAAACTGTGCTAAATTACAGTAGTGCTTATTAGTAACTAGATTTCAAAAGGTTACAGAAATTTACATTCTCTACACAAAACTGCATCTCCTGCACAGACAACATCGACATCGACACAGGAAGGAAACTGATTGTCCATTCTTTGCCCAGGAAGTCTCGGTACTTTATAGATTCGTCTTTACCTCTTTTTTTGTTGTTCTTCCGAAAAAGCAGTTAAAATTTTTTTCTTTTCTTTTTATACTAGGGACGTGGAGATGTTAAAACGACAACAAAAAATATATATATAAAAACAGGAATGAAATCTGTGAGAGAATATTTTTGGTTCTAAAGATGGGTGCATCCGTTTGTCTTCGCCCGAATCCCTTGCCGGAGACCACACGAGCAGTGACATTGCACGGAGAGGGCAGCTTTGGGTTCCCGCCGCCGTCACTGAAACCACCGGAAGGCAGCTCCCGTCGGAAGCATCACCTTCTGGCGGGGGCGGGAGACAAAAACAAGGAGAGAGTTCAGTCAGGGTCCGGCTGGGTCTGGTGCAAAGATGTTCCCCGTGGACGGCCTCATGGTGGAGGGATGGGCATAGAGTAAAGGCAGCCACCCTGTGGAGTTCCTGCCATCTTGGCCAGGCCAGAGAAGGAGCCTTGACCCATGGGGTCGCTGAAGGGCCTGGAGCACCCTGAGGCCTCCTGAGCCACTGTGCCCAGGAAGCTTCCTTCCAGACAGAAGCACCCCTTCCCCTGGTCCAAAGGCCACAAGCGCCAGGCGGCTGTGGTGCACCTGGGAGCTGTGTGCTCGTTTCTGTCAAATGAGCGTGTAAGCGTGTGCACTGGACACATATATGGATGTCCGCCTCGAGCTCTGCTACAGTGCGTAGCATGTTTGGAGCTGTGGTAGAAAGGAAGGATGGATACTTGCTGTGTTTACTAAGAGGCTGTGTCTGTGTGCACTGGGCAGGGGTGTGTGCGTGTGTGTGTGTGTCTACAATAGACGAGAGTGCATATAGGTGTGTTCTCTGGGCAGGAGAGCAGATATATGAGGTTGGGGGCTCAGGGGGTGGGGAGCCACATTGAGATGCTGTTATTGTTTTCCTACCATTCTGGACATTTGCATCAAGCCCACTTGTAAAGGGGTGGGGACGGGGCAGGGACAGTAGGCAGAAAAGATGCTTTTGTACCCAGGCCTGGCACCATAGCTAGGCTGCCAC